GCTCAGTTGTCACTGATGACCCGGTGGAACTGTGTGCCCTGTAAGCAAATACGGTCAGACGTCAGACGTCTCTGGTGACGCGGTGGAACAGAGTGCCCTGTGGACGAAGTCGGAAATAGAAATGGTCAGATGTGATGACGAGGTAGACATAGTGGATGATGAGTTAATGTGACTGATAACAAGCTAATTTGTGACCAGCATGTGAATAAGTTCTGCTGGTAGCGATTCGCGTAATTTCTGCATGATTTGGCTCAGCGTGTGTCGGTACAGCTGATGCTGGCTCACCTAGTAAACTGGCTCAATGGGCGCAAAATGACCTGAGTAGTCGGCGCGCCCTAAAGCCCCAATTAACAAACTAACAAATAACAATATAAACTGGCTCACGCGGTTCAGCTGTCACTGGCTCATTCTGTACCCGTTCATTGGACGCCGGCTCACCTTGTATCCGAAGCCGTACTCCCCGGTACAGAGCGATCGGAAGTTCTCGACCGTGCGAGGCGCCAGGTCAGCTCGGAGGAGGATGGTCAGACGGCCCAGCGGACGGCCGTCGGCCTCAATGTCCATAAACGCGCTGTGGGCACGAGGGGTCAGTGTGAGAGGATGTGAAACGCGCGCCGACACAATGAACAGACGAGCAGTGGACTGTCCGGCAAAACTGTTGTCAGGGAAGCTGAGAAACTGTTTGGCACGAAAAAGCCTTCGCCTACATCCACTCACAGTTAGCTGGGAGAAGATAAGGTCGCCGTACTCACAACGGGTTGGAGGAGATGGGTGACGGCGTGCGGACGATGTTGCAGCTGCGGCAGGAGGCGCCGCGCATGGCCCGCTGATAGAGCTGGTCGCCGGGCAGCGGCGCCGCCGGCGGCCGCCAGTTGGGCCGCGCCTGACGCACCTGGTTGTCGGCCTGCTCGGTGTAGCGCCGGCGCGGCGCCGCCAGCGCGTCAATGCGCGTTAGCAGCTGCCGGTGGCGGCGGGCGGCGGCGCGCGGCGACGGCTGCGAGCGGCCCGGGCTGGCCGGCGGTGACGAGTCGGGGCTGATGACGGCCGTCACCCGGTGGATGACGCGGCGCACGCGCTCGGTGCGGTTCTGCGGCTGCTGGTCGCCCACGCACATGGCGCAGCTGGCCTGGGTGGCGCGCCGCTCGGACGTGCCGCCGCTGTCGCCGGGCGTGGTGATGATGTTGGACGCGTTGCCGCGACTCAGGTGGCCGGGGGGCTCCTTTACCTTGCCGCGGAGGCGCTGCAGGCGGCGGCGCGCGGCCGTCTTGCGGCCGCTGCCGGGCCGCGCTGGCGGTCGGATGGTAGTGGTGATGGCCCGACTGTCCTGAGGCCCCGGCGGGCCCCGGCCGCCGCTGCGCTGACTGCGCTGACTGCGGGGAGTGGCCGGGACTGAGCGGCGGCCACTGGAGCGCGGCGCTGACGGCGGTGGCTGTCGGCCGGACCCCGGCGGCCTCTGCGGCGGCTGGTGGCCTGCTGGGGACGGCTGCCGCTGTTGCTGCTGCTGATTGGAGGCGGACTGCCGCTGCTGTTGTTGGCTTGATGCAGACTGTTGTCGCTGCTGCTGGCTGGAGGTGGACTGCTGCCGCGGCGGGGAGCCGACCCGCCGCTGTGCCTCGATGGCGGCCGGCCGGAGTGGCGGTGACGGGGAGCGGTTTCTGCCGGGCGCCAGCGCCGCCCTGGCCACACTGCGGTCGGTCAGCGGCCTCACCAGCGGCCGGACGGGCGGCTGGTCGGGCCCGACGGCCACCCCGCTGCCGCTCCCGCTGACGGCGAACGTCAGCTTGGCGGCCCGGCGGCTGGTGGAGCGGCTGTCGGCACTCCGCTGGATGGTGTGCTCGCTCTTGGAGCGTCCACTTGGCGTCCTCTCCGGCGAGGGAGGAGGCTTAGCGTCCCGGGAGGTCACCGTTTCACTCTGAGTGTGCTGCACTGTCTGAGTACTCCGCTCCGCTAACTCAACGTATTCGATCTTTGGGTTCGTTGGCTTCTTTTTGAAGAATACTTTCATAGGTTGGGTGTTGTCGGAGTAAGATGTTCTTTTGTCTTGAGAACAAGTTTCGATTTTATGTTTTCGTTCGGTCGTCTCTACTTCGGTGTCGGAGTGATTCTCTCTTTTGGTGTCGGTGTTTGCAGGCTTGGTTGGCCTCCGCTTTTTCGTTTTTGTCTCTTTGCTTGCAACGTTATTAGACGAATTAGCTTTGTTCCCGCCATTAACTTTTACAGGTCTAATAGAGTCTCGTTTTTCGCTGACAATTTTTACGCGTTCACAAATAGGCTCAGCAGCATCATCGGGGACTTCGGAAGCGTTTTGTTCTGCTTTACTTTCGGCTTCCTTTGTGTCTGGTCCAGCTGGCGCTTTTACTGATTCAGCTGTTTCTTGTTTTTGGCCTGGCGTATTATCATCCTTCTGTCCCGGATTATTGCGCTGGACAGCGGTCTCGCGGTTGGCTGCCTGTTCAGTGATGGGTGAAAGTTTGGGTGCAGGCATTGGCTTTTTACTCCATGGAACTTGGTTTCGTTCGAGCTGTAGTGTTTGGGTTAGTATCTTGGACTCGTTCAATTCCTCTCTGATGACATTACTGACGTTCCTGGGCTCTGGCGCCGTTATTTCCTGTGCCTGCGGCGCCATCGTGTGGTGCACCTTCTGGTGGGCCTGCACCGAGTACTGACTGATGAGGATCGGTATCTTCTGGTTGTTGATGGTGATGTAGGGCGCCGTCTGTCTCGATGCGTATGTGACGGGGGACTCCTGCGGCGGGCTGGTGGTGACCCAGAAGTCGCCGGCGGCCTGGCCTGTGGGCCGAGCCGGACCGAGCGCCGGCGCTCCCCCGCCGCCGGCCGCCGCCACGCTGTTGGCTCTGCCGGGCGTCTGGCCGGCCGCGGCAGCCGCTCCGCCAGTGGCCCACTCGGCGCGGCGCACGGCCACCCAGGGCTGCAGCGGCGGCAGCGCGGCCGGCGGCGCCAGCTCGGTCAGCGAGCGCTCCAGCTCGTGCACCTGCTCCACCAGCTGGGAGCTGGAGAGCTCGGGACGCTCCTCTGTCACCGGCGGGGGCGGCGGCTGACCCAGCGCCCGGCTGGCCGACCGCTCCAGCTCGGCCAGCGAGTGAGTCAGCTCCTCAGCGGAGATCAGCCGCTTCAGCTGGGCGGCCGTCGGCTCGAGCGCGGCCGCCGGCGACGGCTGCCGCTGGCGACACGCCTTCCAGTCCTTCAGACTCTCCGTGTCCTGAAACCGCAGCGCGGGCTGTGTATGAAGAAAAAGAGGGTGCAGGTTGATCTGTTTTCGAACTTATAAGTATTGATGTAGTAAGTAAGAAAGTTTGAGGGAATAAGAATTGATGATTTTTTCTTTATAAGTTAAATATTTTAGCAGTGGTATTTTACAGCGAAGTCCCGGGGTAGGTTCCTGGAAAGTGTCGTTTAACATTTTTTTAACGATTATCATTTTTTTTAACGATTATTTTTGCCTTCTGCCTTTAATTATCGTGGAGCATAGGCAATAAACATGCTAGGTTTTATATGAAGCATTAATTGCGAGATTATCCCTGGCTCTTTAGCGATACTACATAGGTACTCACCGGTCCTATGTCCGTCCGAATGCCGTGCGTGTCGATTCCCATCTTCCTTCGCTTATACAGTAGTCGCTTGGTGAGGATTCGGTATGCCCTCGGTGGGTCGGTGTCGACCACAGGCCTTACTTTGAGTAGCTGCGAAGTAGAAACATTTGAATCACTCAATTCTTGTCTCTTATAGTTCCGTGAAACATTGGCCTAAATCTAAAAGCAGACAGCCCTAATTACCCTTTACCTACACCATGCATTCCTAATGCCACTTTGGTTGTACACACCTGTTTATTCCATGTTTTCTTATTTTTTTTTTGTAACTCATTATTTGAGCATTGCTTATACCTTGCCTTCTTTTTTTACTTTCTGTCTTTCAAAAATCGCCTTCTGCACTCCTTTGCTACACTTTCAGGGCCTGGATGGCGTTGGCAATTTCCATCTTGCTGAAGTTATGGGCTAGGTATTTCTGAAATGCGCTCAAAATTAATATATAGACTCACCCGATTGCGGTGCTGGTCGTAGCGACTATTCTCCTGTCGTTTTGCCCACTTCTTTCCTTTGAAGTATGTTTGCGGATTTTGAAACAAGTTTGGAAAAAAGCCCATGGATATTCTTGGCAAAAGGGTCTCAGAACTTCACGGATCATTCCGCACGTGGCTGCATTAGTTTTCAAACAGTCGCTACCGCATGGTTTCATGATTTAGCACAAGGAGGTTCAAACGTTCATGTTAACCCCAATATTGACAATTTAGCATGTTCTCAGGTGTCGCTTTAGGCCTATATCTATGTAGGTACCTTGTGTTCAGTGGTGTTAATTTTTGTCTTTTTATTTGTAAAATCGCCATTGCTCGAATCATTTATCGCTGGCATCCTCGTGCCTTGTGTTCAGCCGTCTCCTGTGTTGGAGAATGAGATGACCTTTTATAAAGATTTTATTCATACGATTACATTTATTTTCATAACTTGCCCATTTTCATCAAGCTATTATAGTTGTTTCAGGTTGTTATTACATACTCAAGTTAATTGTTTATATTAACCCTCGTCGGCACGGGGTGATGCAACCCCCCTAACGTAATGGATGTTTTTTGCCCCCCCCCCAAAGTTTTTTTTTTTATTTCGCAAATAACTCTTAAAAAGCGGCCGATCGCGACGAAACTGTCAGTACCTTCGCGTTGATTGAGGGGGAGGGGGGGGGGGGGGTCGTACCCCCCTTGTGCCGTCGAAGAACGCAAAATGGCCAGTGTGCCGGCGAGGGTTAACAGCGCTCTAGCTTTTCATTTTTCCTTTGATATATCATATATACACTACATATGACGCATCATACGATTGTTTCTCGTTTCCGATGCTCGATGGTGATTGTCCCGCCTTACGACAATCGCCAGCAATGCGATCGTTTTAAAGAAGTTCATTCATCGGTCTGCTGCCTTAGCGTTATCTTACCTTATGTACCATCCACGTGAGTTGGCTGCTGTACTGTTTGCGTTCGTGTAATGTGTATATCAGTTGGACTCTCCTTCTTTCTCCAGCTACTCGGGAGAGGACTCTGACGGCGACCATCAGCCGGAGGACGACATTTTCACCTCCTCCTCCAAGGGATCGACTCAGCGATCCGCGAGACACGGTAACGAATAATTCCAGTCGACCACTGATATTGGGTGCCGGGCGAGTTGTGATTTGATCCGCGGCTCATCAAGTTTAATTTTGTTTTATTAGAGGAGAACACAATTTGAAAAAAATCTATGGTGTTTGAATTTTATGCCAAAATATTCTGCGTTTGACAACTTTTGACGCCTTTCAGCCCGGGTCCTTTATATTGTCGGGGTGCTGGCTATTGTCCCGTTTTCATATTCAGCTGTCCATCAGCTACAGACCACGGTAAAAGTTTGAACCTTATTTCGCCGAGGTCCTGACCTGTGCCACCGTTTTCAGAATTAGACGCCGCCTCCCAGCTGCAGGACATGGTGAAGGAGCTGCGGGAGCAGCTGGCTGCCGAGAGGGAGCTGCGCGACGGTCACCAGAAACGCGCCGAGTCGCTGCAGGTCAGACCCGCCCCCCTAGAAATGACCAGCGCTGCTCATATCGGAAACAGTTTAATTAAACATCTCATGGGCTACGCTTTTGGCTCCTTATTCTTACTCTGTTCGTCGCAAGGTGTTGGGTCTGGCTTTTCAACCGTGTGTCTGCCAACAGGAGGACCTGTTTGAGACCCGCACTGCGCGTGAGAGTCTGCTCAGTCAGTTGTCGGAGACGGCCACAGCGGCCGAGACGCTGCAGGGTGTAGTCGACGAGCAGAAACGACAACTCTCCGAGCTGCAGGTGAGCTGCCCTCGCTGAGTGCTGACCATGTACATACTATGTTATCCTGGGTGATTTCTTAGTGGGACATCGTATCATTTGGTGCTGCTTGAGGTAAGACTGATGACATTCTTTTGGCCGATCGGATTTTTTTTAAAATTCATTTACTGGCACCGCACCAGACGCACCAGACCCTAGCGTCCGGTGCGGTCCATGTTCATATGTTATAGTCTGACCCCCGCTCGTCCTTTTCGTTGTGTCATCCCTTCCCCTCGACGCTATTATATTCACCACGTTGCCCTTACCTCCTCCTAATCTAACCAGTCCTCTCTGACCCTCACTCTGCCCTCTCCCCGGCAGGAGGCGGCGGCGGCCGACCGGCAGCACCAGGCGGCCGCCGAACGGTCCCGCTACCCCTACCCCCTCCCGCTGTGACCGGCCCTCTACCCGGCAGGAGGCGGCGGCGGCCGACCGGCAGCACCAGGCGGCCGCTGAGCGCTCCCGCCAGGAGCTGCAGCAGCTGACGCGCGAGGCCGAGGCGCGTATCGCCCAGGTGCGAGCGGAGGTGGACGACCGGCTGGCGGCCGCGCGGCGGGACGCCGAACAGGAGTGGCGCGCCAGACTGGAGCAGCGGCTGGTAGAGGCCGGCCGGGAGGCTAACGACAGGGTGGCAGCGGCACGGGCGGAGGCGGAGGAACAGTGGAGGGAGAGAGTGGCGGAGGCCGGGAGGGAGAGGAAGGAGGAGGGGGATGTGGAGGCGAGGCTGGCGGCGGCGAGGGAGGAGGTGGCAGAGGAGTGGAGAGGAAAGCTGGAGGCGCGGGTCGCCGAGCTGACGGATGAAACGGAAAAGAAGGTGGCGAAAATCAAGGAGGAAGTCAATGATGACTGGAAGAGTAAGTTGGATGCTGAGATACAGAGGATGCGGGATGAAACAGACAGCAGAGTGGCAGAAGCCAAAAAGAGCGTGGAAGAAGAGTGGCAAAAGAAGCTGGATGCGGCCGTCGCTGAAGCTCAGGTTGGCCAGGAAGAAAAGCTGGCCGCCCTGAGAACAGATCTACAAAACGAGAACTCACTGCGAACAGACGCACAGCTGGCAGAACTGCGTGCCGCCGAGGAAGCCAAGCTCGCGTCAGTGAAGGCAGAGTTGACTGCCGAATGGGAGCAAAGGGCTGACGCGCGAGTGGCAGATGCGTTAGCTGAGGCAGAGGCTAAGTTTGCCGCGGAGAGAAAGGAACTAGAGTCGGAGTGGCAGTTGAAGACTGAACGCCAATTAGCTGATGTACGTGCGGAGGCGGAAACTTCGGCAAACGCGCTAAAGCAACAGATCGACGAGCTTCAGCATCGTGCTTTGGATGGGTCCTCGGATTTCGATGCTCGGATTTCGGCGCTTCGGGAGGAAATCGAGTCTCAGTGTCGCCAGGAATGGGAGGGACGGTTGTTAGAGGCGGAGGAGAAAATAAAACGGGTGCAGGAAGAGCTAGAGGGAGAACGGCAGGACGGGGCTCAACGTCTTGAGATTGAGTCAGAGAGGCGAGTGACAGAGACACGGAACGAGATGCAGGTAGAATACGAGAAAAGGTGGCAAGCCCAGTCGTCCGAAGCTGAAGAAAGAATCAAAGCATTGCAAGATAAAATCGAACGATTGCAGCGTAAACACGAATATAAAACATCCGATACTCAAACAGATGCCTCCCACTCTCCGTCTCGAGACGAACTCGCCGCTGAGATCCGCGCTGAACTCGAGCCCTCTGTTCGCGCCACGGTGACGGCCGAGCTGGAGTCGTCCCACCAGCGGGAGCTGACCGAGCTCCGGTCCTCTGCCGAGGCCGAGCGGGTCGCGCTGCGCTCCAACCTGGAGCGGGAGCACCAGCAGCGCACTGAGGCGCGCATCGCAGAGGTACGCGCAGAGGTGGACGCCAAAATATCGGCCACGCTGCAGAGAGCCGAAGGCACGCTGGCCCGGCTCAAAGACAACCTGGAGGCCGAGTACGCGCGGAAGGCGGCGGACGACGCGGCGCGGGTGGGCGCAGAGGCCGACGCCAGGGTGGCCGCCGAGGCTGCCAGACTGGAGGAGGAGCTCGCGGGGAGGATGAGTGAGGAGCGCGAGCGGTGGGAGGAGGGGACGCGACAGGCGGAGGAGGCGCAGGCCCAGGCGGAGAGCGAGATCAGACGAGAGGCAGCGGCACGGCTGGTAGAGGCGGAGCGGGCGGCGGAGCAGAGGATAGCGCAGCTTCAGAACCAGCTAGATGTCGCTGAAAAGGAGAGAAGAGATACGACTCAGAGTAAGCTGACTCTTAGTGAGACGGCTATTTCCAGACCAACTACCCCTCGCGTGGCGGCCAGTGAGCTCGATATCCAGATGCAGGAAGAGCTGGCCAGAATAACGTCCGACTACGAGCACCAGGTCTCCGAGATACGGGCCGATCTGCTGAAAGTCAAGGCGGTGTTCGAGGAGGAGAAGAGAGCATCCGACGACGAAAAGGTAAGCTGTCAGGATGAATGATGGAAGATTACCTTGTCGATAGACCTAGGTACGATTTTATCAGTTCAATGTCACTTAAGTTGATGCCACTTTATGTGCAAAATATTTCATCACCATGTCCCTTTTTGGCTGGGGCTGAAACGACTTGTTCACTCCCAAATATCGCCTAGGTGTGCATTGAATTTGATATAGGTACTCAGCAGCTGTACCGTGTACCAACATTTCCCCTATCTCCCTGCGTGTGCACAGCGTCGCCAGGTGGACCGCTCGGAGGCGGCGCTGTCGGCCGAGCGGCTCCGGTCCGAGCACCAGCAGCAGCAGCTGGCGGCTCTCTCGGCCGAGCTGGCAGCTGCCGGCGCCGCGCGGACAGCTGCCGAGACACAGCTGGTGGAGCTGCGCGCACAGCTGGCGCAGAGACACGCGGACAGGTATAATAACTGGGGGCGGGAGGAATCATCCAACGCGGCGTCAAGTTGGGAACAGTAATTATTTTCTGCAAAATATTTGTTGTCGCGTCTGATGGTTTGCTAGATTTTGTTGTGGTTGAAGTGTTGTGGTCGTCGTAGCATATATTTTTTTGTGCCGTGCTTATTTTGGCACGCTGATGTCTATGATCTATGGGGTTTGCCGATAAAAAGATTATTAGGTTTAATGCAGTTGAGCAATTATGTTTCTGCTGAAAAATGTAGTATGTACTGTTAAATGTGTAACTTCTGCTCCCCCATTTTTCAGACACTCTCAGTCGCGTGATACGCCACCCGCCGTTGGCTGTGAGCGATGCCGGGAAACAGACGTCCACCACCACTGCCAGTCCGCCTACCATGTAGACTCTCACCGTCCTCGGCCGTCAACGCACGGCGAACTGTGCACCTCTGACGCCAGGAGAGCCGACAGGTCGTGTCCTGCGTGCAGCCTGGCCCAGCCTCCATCGGGCGTCCCCTACCAGTCCTTCGGACCGCCGCGTCGTGAGGGCAGAGCCGTGGATACAGCGGCTGGCAGCCACGGTCAGTCCTTGATCAGTGTGGGTGTTCAGGTAGAAGAAAAGCCTCTCTCCTCCAGCAAGAAGTCGAGAGACATCTGCCGTGGCTCGGAGGAGCCTCGGCGCCCGTCGGGCCGGCGTCGATGGGACGATGGGGGCGCCTCGGATCCAGCAGAGAGTGACGCACCCGCCCAGCGGAGAGCCAGGTGGGAGGTGGACCGTCAGAGGTCACCGGACGGCCACCGCGGCCGTCGGTGGGCGGCGCGGGCGGAGCGGGACTCCTCAGAGGACAGGTCACCGTCCTCGCGGGCGGAGGACGCTGAGCGGGAGGAGCGTTCCCCGGAGCTGACCCAGCTGCGTACCGAGCTCGGGCAGAGCAGGGCACATGTGGCTGAGCTGCAGAGCTCTCTGAGCGAGACTGCGCGCCAGGCCGCCGAGAGACAGGACCAGATGGAGGCCCGGGTGGCCCAGCTGACGCGGCAGCTGGCGAAGCTGCAGCTCAGTCGGCAGCTGACGGCTCTGGGCGCGGCGGACGGCGGCGGCGGCCGCTCCAGGCGAGCCTCTGCCCTGGGGGCGGCGCTGGACCACCTCACGGCCACAGAGGAGGAGGAGCTGGCCCAGGGTGGGATGGTGACCTCCACTCCGCGCCGGGTCCAGTCGGAGGCGAGGCTGACCCGGCACCAGGCAGTGAGCGCAGGGGGACAGTCGGACACCCCGGCGCCGGCCCCGCGCCGCTGCCAGTCCGAGGAGGTGAAGGTGCACAGACCGAGCGACGGTCGGCGGCGCGGCGGCGGCGGCCCGCGCAGGGCACACTGCTCGCGGCGGGTGCTCCCCGAGGCGGCTGAGTCGGGGGTGTTCCCGGACTGGCGTCTGGGAGAGACGTCGGACGTCGAGCCGCCGCCCACCGACCGGTCCGAGCCCACCTCCTGCTCTGAGCCGCCGCCGCCGCGCTCAGAGCCGCCGCGGGCGCAGACGCGTCGCCTGCAGGCGCTGGAGCTGGCGCACGCCGAGGCCACGCTGCGCCTGTCTCAGGAGCAGGAGCGCTCAGCTCGACTGGAGCAGCAGACTCAGGAGCTGCGGGCGCGGTGCCGGGAGGCGCGGCGGCCGCCTCCTACCCCGCGGTCTCCAGGCCTGGAGTCGGCGCTGCTGTCCCAGCTGCGGCGCCTGCAGGAGACGGTCGGCCAGGAGCAGGAGCGGCGCGGCCTGCTGGAGCTGGAGCTGGAGCGGCTGAGCGCCGGCAGTGACGCGGCCAGCGCGCGCGTCAGTCGCCAGCTGGAGCGGCTGCTGTCGGAGCTGCGCCACCGCCCGCCGGCCAGCCAGACTGAGCTGCGGCGACTGATCGAAACGGAGGTGAGGCCGTGACACCGGATATAAACTCTGGACAGCTGATGGACGGTGGTTGACTGATTGCTTATAGTTATTTTGGGTCTTCTCATTCAGCATTACATCGGAGCTTGTTAAAATGGTCACGTTTTTCTCTGACATTCCAATGAATAAGCTTGCAGTTTCTCTCAGTTACGTGGCAGGGTGTTTGGCGTGTTTGTTTCGGACCTTTGACCTTGCTCCCTGTGTCTGAGTTTGAGGGCGAGCCGAGATATGCTGTCTGTATGTCGGTGTCCAAGTGCTTGTCCCGATCCCCCTATCTCACTTCAAAGGCGAGGAGCGTGATTTTTTTGATGTAACCTTTGTCTCACTCCTGACCCCGCCTGTGTCTCAGTTCGAGGACGAGGCGCGGTATGTGACGTGCACATGTCTCAGCTGTTCACACCTGTTCTGTATGTGTGTCAGTTCGAGGATGAGACAAGAGTGTTCTGATGGCACGAATTTCATGTGCTCATTCCTTTTCTGTATGTCCCAGTTCGAGGGCGAGGCGCGGCGCCGGGAGCATCTGGCCGAGGACCTGGCCGACACCCGGCGGCTGCTGACGGAGCAGATGGTGCGACTCGGCGCCGCCGTCTCCGGTGAGTACCCAGACGGCCGACACAGGTCACCGGTCACCGGGCGGGTCAGCGGGTCACACAGGCTGCTTGCATGCAGGCTTGCTGTTCTGGCCGTGGGTTCGATCATGAGTCGGGCCACGAAATAGATGACGAATTGATAAACTAACCAGGTCACAGGTCGGCCACCGGATCATGCCATGAACTCGTTCACGGATCGTGTCAGGTCGCTGGTCTAGTGACTGGTCGGGTCGACATGATCTGGTCACCGATTTTGTGGCCCTTGTTGATACACATAACACACTGTTACGGTATATCAGCCTGAGGGCATTGCATGTGCTATTGGGAGTGGATGTGTCAACTTTGGGATGGCCTAACATTGGTAGCTAATGGCTGGCATGGGGTGAAGGGTCACGGTATTGCTCCGTGCTCGGAAGCTGCCCCGCCACTCTCAGCTATAACTGGCGCTCTGAGGTGATATTATGGTGGAATGTGGCATTTCTGACAACCCTTTATTTGATCGGAATGCATGCCTCCGTAGTGGCTGTCTTGATGCTATTTATCGTTTTATCGTGACACCGGTGACTAGCGGCTGACGTTTCCTCGCTGCAGTCTTCCCCCAGGCGTCTATCACTATACGATTGATACTCGACTCATAGCTCAGAATTTAGTCTGAGCCAGCCCGTTGAATGAATCGTGCTTGATCTCACAAACGGCCGTGCAGCTAAGCGTTATCCTTTTTTATATCCTTTTGATAGACATGACTATGAGGACAGTCAAATATTTTATTTTGTTAGACTCTGATGGGAATTTAATCTTCCGATATTACCATATTAAGTGAGGAATGCATTTTTAGACAAGATAACAAAGAACTTTATAAGCTTGGATGAGAGATTGGCCGATAAGTTTTCAGCATTGTTTCAGCATACGCTGTTCAATTGACCAATGATCCAGACGGGGCTCACTGCTGAGAATTGACCAGAATTCAGAGCACTGACGCGGCGGTCCGTTTCGTTAGCTCGCGATAAGAGGGAGGAGACGTTCGTTCAGCAGTGTGAGCAGATTCAGCTGCTGTCGGCGCCTTCCACACGGCGCTCCATTGCGTCCCCGGTCAATGAGCGCCCGGTGGGGCCCGGCGGCCACCGGTCGGCAGTGCGAGCCGCCGACCTGTCAGTGGAGTCACAGCGGTGAGACTAGTGTGCTGTGGTGAATGTCCTGAACATGCCTGCCGCTTTTTTGCTTTTTGGCTCCCTCATTGTTTGGATTGGCGGGCTATGCTTGAATACGAGCCCTTTGTTTTTACTTATAATGCTAATGGATATTTTCATCAAGCTAAGTTTTTATCGCATTTCATTTCAATACTCATTTGTTTTCGGTTCTAAACCGTTTTGAATACCGGTTTCTCCAGACCGTTCAACATGACTGGATTGGATTTGCACCGTTACTTGTTTCCTCTTCCTTGTTTTTGCTTATGAATGGAGTAAGGGCTCATTCTCAACTGGGTATTGGTGCTTTGGCTTATAGTTGCTACTATGTAATTGCATGTTATAGGTTATTTTAGGGCTTTGGTGATGGTTATAACTTACATCTGTATTATAAATTAGGCTGCATGTAAGTTTACACTGTAACTATATAACATTTTTTTGGTCGTAACACATTAATTGTTATTGCATGACACGCTGTAATGCATTTTATACGCACGCATAATGTTGTTACGTCAATTTGTTTTTGTTCTTTGTTCTATTCACGGTTTGCGTTTTGTTTATTTTATCGCATAATTTAACGATGTGTGTCATATTTAACTATAGAATATATTATTAATTGTATACTTTAATGATTAAAGTCAATAATTTTCAGCCCGATACTTGTAAGTTATGTGAGGGTGTACGAATTTTCTGATTGCTGTATTTCCTTGCTGCTTTTTTATAGGAAGGCCGTGGGAAGATCATTTTACTACTCAGAAGGTCTGGCCGGGGGGGGGGGGGTGGGAATTCAAGAGATCTATACGTATTGCTATGCAAACGTATCCTTCCATCCCAGTTTCCCATGGAATTGACGTGACTTTCTATCGGCACAACCAGCATCGTGCCGCTGCTGCCGGAGCTGCGGGAACCGGCGCCGCTGCCCGACTTCAAGGCGCTGGCGAGCAGTGTGGTGGCGGTGCGGCCGGCCCCCTGTGCCACCAGCACCCCCGGGGAGTCCGTACGCCAGCCGTCAGCCGAGCTGTCCCGTCGGATACGACACGAACTGGACCAGAGCATCCGCCGCCACCTGACCGACGACCAAGGTAGTGCGGAGGGCGAGTGCGAGACGGACGGCTGGATGGTGGGTGGGTGTATAGTATGAAATGTGGCTGTGGACGCCAATATAGTGTAGGCCCTCGGTAACATACTGATGTTCGTTTTTGGATTCTGAAATATTATGTTTTGTCAGTGTGTTTGCTCCATTGTGTCTCGGGGCTGTGCGATTTGCATAAACCGTCATCATGCACGTAAACAGCCGATCACAAGGCTAATGCGTGCATCTGACTAATTTTTGGCGACAAGCACAAAAAAGCCTAGTTGACAGGCAGTCGACAGCTATGTGAATGACGACTGGCTGCTGACGGCTCGCTGACGACGGGTATGTGGTGGGCTCCACAGTAATTCCTCACCATCCGTCTGACAGTTCCCCGACCGCGGAATGGCAACATTTCGGACTTGTGTGACGAACGATCTGTGAGCCGGTCACCGCCAGTTTCAGCCCACGGCTGGAGGACGTGGCACTCGGCCACCGGCCTGTGATCCACCGGCCTCCCAAATCTGAGTCAATATTTGTCTAGCCAATGTGGAGTCAGATGAGGTGTGAACAAATTCAGGATGTTTGGCTTAGTCAACTCTGAGTCAAGTGGTTCGATCATGAGGCGATGGCCATTTCCCTGATTGGGTGCACCCTGTGAGGTGGAACAAAATTTCTCAAGTTTCTGTTTGATGGAATTATTTTCACTTCTGATTTCGCATTGTTCAGTGTCAAATCATCTCATTGACCCTTTTGTTTTCCTTTCAGAGTGGCACCGTGGCGGCAGCAGGGGCGGATCGGTGAGCTCGGTGACACCCCGCTCAACCAGCACGGTTCACGCCAATGACGAGGACGCAGTCAACCGATCCAGGAAGGACTACCTGGCCACGGTGGTCAATCTCTACAGCCTCTGAACAGCTGCGAGAAAAACCGACAGCTGTGGTCAATCTCTACAGCCTCTGAACAGCTGCGAGAAAAACCGACAGCGTTGGTCAATCTCTACAGCCTCTGAACAGCTGCGAGAAAACCCGACAGCTGTGGTCAATCTCTACAGCCTCTGAACAGCTGCGAGAAAACCCGACAGCTGTGGTCAATCTCTACAGCCTCTGAACAGTCGCGAGAAAACCCGACAGCTGTGGTCAATCTCTACAGCCTCTGAACAATGGCGAGAAAACCCGACAGCTGTGGTCAATCTCTACAGCCTCTGAACAATGGCGAGAAAACCCGACAGCTGTGGTCAATCTCTACAGCCTCTGAACAGTCGCGAGAAAACCCGACAGCTGTGGTCAATCTCTACAGCCTCTGAACAGCTGCGAGAAAAACCGACAGCGTTGGTCAATCTCTACAGCCTCTGAACAGCTGCGAGAAAACCCGACAGCTGTGGTCAATCTCTACAGCCTCTGAACAGCTGCGAGAAAACCCGACAGCTGTGGTCAATCTCTACAGCCTCTGAACAGTCGCGAGAAAACCCGACAGCTGTGGTCAATCTCTACAGCCTCTGAACAATGGCGAGAAAACCCGACAGCTGTGGTCAATCTCTACAGCCTCTGAACAATGGCGAGAAAACCCGACAGCTGTGGTCAATCTCTACAGCCTCTGAACAATGGCGAGAAAACCCGACAGCTGTGGTCAATCTCTACAGCCTCTGAACAGCTGCGAGAAAACCCGACAGCTGTGGTCAATCTCTACAGCCTCTGAACAATGGCGAGAAAACCCGACAGCTGTGGTCAATCTCTACAGCCTCTGAACAATGGCGAGAAAACCCGACAGCTGTGGTCAATCTCTACAGCCTCTGAACAGCTGCGAGAAAACCCGACAGCTGTGGTCAATCTCTACAGCCTCTGAACAGCTGCGAGAAAACCCGACAGCTGTGGTCAATCTCTACAGCCTCTGAACAATGGCGAGAAAACCGACAGCTGTGGTCAATCTCTACAGCCTCTGAACAGCTGCGAGAAAATCCGACAGCTGTGGTCAATCTCTACAGCCTCTGAACAGCTGCGAGAAAACCCGACAGCTGTGGTCAATCTCTACAGCCTCTGAACAGCTGCGAGAAAACCCGACAGCTGTGGTCAATCTCTACAGCCTCTGAACAGCCTCGAGAAAACCCGACAGCGTTGGCCAATCTCTACAGCCTCTGAACAGCTGCGAGAAAACCCGACAGCTGTGGTCAATCTCTACAGCCTCTGAACAGCTGCGAGAAAACCCGACAGCTGTGGTCAATCTCTACAGCCTCTGAACAGCTGCGAGAAAAACCGACAGCTGTGGTCAATCTCTACAGCCTCTGAACAGCTGCGAGAAAACCCGACAGCTGTGGTCAATCTCTACAGCCTCTGAACAGCTGCGAGAAAAACCGACAGCTGTGGTCAATCTCTACAGTGTACAATCTGTAAACTGTACAACATTTACAGTCTACATACTAATATTCTGTAGATGTTGACAGTAGAACACTACCGAGCAAGATAAATACGTGGAGAACATCTGCATTATATCTGGGGTCTACTGCCTCCAATAGTTCGAAGAAGGTTACTCGACGATGACTGGTCAACAGCTACACTCCGCTGCAGCGTACGGCAGTTCTGGGTTAAAGTGGCTGCACAGTACCCAACTTCAAAGACCCTTACGAAGACTAGGTACCAGACCTTCGTGGGAAGACTGCACCCACTACAATCATTGTCTACAGTTAGTAGGCAGTGCAACAAGGACTGACTGGTCAGTAGTCACCTTGATGGTCATCTGCTGGTATCCTGTCGTGACCTTTCGGAGTGTGACATCAGCTACGAATGAGCTTGCGATGGCCAAGCCCATATTCATAGTTTGGTTGGAGTTCTGTTAAACCTTTGCCCCGTGTATTCTCCGAGGGCAGGCCTAGTCAGTTCTATGTAATGCGCTTGCGTATTCTAGTCATTATATGTCTATTGCCTTATCATGTGCCACTTTTCAAACTGGTATCTGTTTATGTTGGGTTCTAAGGGAGGCGCATTTTGCGGTTCGCATCTCCGTCAGTGTCTGTGGTCACTAATGCGGTTGGTGACCACGGAAGTCCTACCGAGCTGGGGCCTCAGATCCTTCAGTATTTTGATTTGTGAATCACTCCTCTGCGCTGTGACTAAGAGCTTGTCATAACTAGTCACTGCTACCGCTATCAGGTCACTGTGTAAGCGGTAGTGACAGCGAGTCTTGTCTTGGGGTCGGAAAGGGAAGAGTAGTAACTTAGTAAGTGTGAACCCACCACCCAGTACACCTCCTCGGCGTTATGACCGCCTACTGGGTCAGCACTGCGTGATATTTCCACACCCCACGTGTGTGGTGTAACGTGATCTCGCTGTGTGCCGCGGGCCTGGACTGGGGTGAAGCGTGCGGGTATCGTTATCTGGGACCAAACAGCGTACCTGAGCGGTCCAACTGCCGGCTGGCTACACCGAGCGATGAGGGGTGCGCAGATGGCAGCGGCCGACTTGTCAGCACTGTGTGTCGCACTGTGGGTTTCCAATGTTTGTGCTCTTGTGCTGTCCACGGCACTTGGGCTGGGTTGCACCGGTCGGTATTGTGTTACATTTTGTGTTACTCGTAAACGAAGTGCATTTCGCTCTAGTCAATTCCGTCCAGAACTATTTTCAAAACGCACATGAATATTTATGTGAATAATACATATATTTGCATATAAAAATGTGTCTTTGCAGGTTCACATGGTTTCATGAAGATAAACATATATCAAACAACTAACCCAATCTCACCTCAATAAATACCACATCAATCAAACGTTCATACCTTAATCAGCACCTTAAATATAACTGGACCACCAACGGCCAGATAAACATACAAAATTAACTTAATCTTAACCATATGTATGTCACAGAACGTGCTCGCATATACTTCGTTGTGACGACTCTTTGGAAAGGACCATGGGCGTACACAATGTGTGCGGCAGCATGGTGCTTCCCTATGAACTGGTGCGCACTGGCCGACCCCGTCGACTGACTAGTCACCGTATAAAACTCTCCAGTTTATCACAGCCTCTCCTGGCGGGCGCCCAACAAACAATGGCGGCTCCGGACCGTGTCTGTCGCACACATGGCGATTTTGGCAGTCCCACTGACACCACTCCCGCCCCGGGGCCCGAACATTGTGCCACAAAATCGAGCACAGCTGACGTCTTCGTCAGAGAAGACCTTTCTCTCACCCGCGCGGTAGGCAGTGACATTTTCATGGCAAGTTAAACAGACCTTTTGGAGAGTATTATGCGTGCCTCTCTGTGCTGCCACTAAACTTGTTTGTGCCACTTGGCGCGTATGGTTTTGTTTCCAGCGAGACAATACCATGTATGCCATACTTCTTCACTAGTCACTACCGTGCGACCTGCTGTACGCACCTAGCGATGCGATACACTCCGGTGGTCTGCATAGGCGGCGGAGCGGGGAGGGCACGGGGGCACCGTGCCCCTTTGATTTTGGCATTTTAACATTAGCCCTATGGACGTTGCATGGAAAGAATGGGACCAAAAGTCGGCAGTGGCCCCCCCCCCTTAATTGAAGGTGTTCCGCCGCTTCTGGTGGTATGTACCGGGATCCGCAGCCTACACCTTCTGACTGCTCTGTCGACGGCAGCAGCAGGCGGCGCGGCAGCAGCTGATGCACTTGCAGACGATGGTGATGGCCACGATGACCATGACGAGGTCGACCACGACGCCGAACGCCGTTGTCCACGACCCGCCCGATTGCAGCCAGGTGGCTGGATTTAGAGCCCTGCGGAGGGACGACACGGTCAGATGAGACTGGCTGGTTGATAACTAGTGGAGTGATGGAGTGCTGCAGTGGTGGTGTGACTCGGACTGAAAGTTCGGGGATGTGATGCTGAGCAGTGAGTCGGCAGCGCAATAACTCATGAACCAAGACTGGCCTGTTGTGGTATGGAGAGGGGTGCTTGGAACTATGCTAGCATCGTCGGCTGGTCGAACTGCATACGAATGAACGTCTGAGCGGTAGCAGCAGCGGTGCAGGCCGGTTTCAGTGAGCGCAAAGGGCCTGCGCTCTGAGAAACGACCACTACATGTCCAGCCAAACCTCTGAAGTATCAGCAGGCGTCGGTTTACTGCCGACATTGGCATTCAGCGAAGACTGTGATGGATTTTGCGATGCGATTTGCAGGGACATAAAGTACAGAAACACCATTCAAACGGTCCTCATTTATTGCCCATCTCATCAATAATACACCACGGGGCATCAAATGCCGGTAAAAATCCTGGGGCCATGACCTCATCTCGTGGCAGAGGGGCTATCTGAAGTGGCCTGATGGTGTTTGTAAGTCGTAAAATGTGAACAGGCGTGGCTCGTGCAGATGATTGCCCGTTAATTGTGCGCCCGTTACGTCTTTGCTAGCTCATTACGATCAGTCCACATGATGTTAGTTATTACGCTGTTATACAAGCGGATATGCTTGTTGATAATTTGCTGGCTGATGAAAGTTGAGACATTCTTATCCAATTGTGAGTCTCATTTCGTCGTCACCAGCTCGCCTAATGGATCTCCTTATGCCGTCAGTCGGATTGGTCCCGTCGTATCAAGGCTCACCCGAGGAATCGCTCCACGTTATTGGTCGGGTTGGTCCCGTATTGTCTGCCCCTTCACCTGAGGAATCGATCCATGTTGATTGGGTTGGTCTGACTCCACCGTGGCGTTTAGCCTCACCTGAGGAATCGCTCCATGTTGTTGATCGGGTTGGTCTGTCCGTCGACGGTGAGCTGTGAGTCGGGTCCGGTGTCCCTGTGGAGAGTCTCCAGCGGCTGGCGACTGATGGGCAGCTGCCTGCACAGGGCGGCCTCCGCGCTGCCCTCGGGCCTCAGACACATCTCTGCGTCCTTCTGGTCGGCGGCCAGCGTCACTGGCAGCCGGAGCCGCAGCCGGCGCTCGGCCACCAGGCTGAACCGGTAGAGCGCCGGCGGCGGCCCGGCCGCGCCGTAGCTGACCTGCACCGAGCCGTGCTGCACGCCCGAGCCGTTGAAGAGGCGCAGCTCGGCGAGCACGGCGCCGCGCGCGTCCACGCGCAGCTCGCCGTCGAAGTCGGCCAGCCGGGCGCGGTGCACCAGGTAGCGCAGTCGCTGCAGGTGCCGCAGGTCCAGGCCGAGCAGCAGCGGCCGGCCGGGCCGCTCGGGGCTGAGCAGCAGCCGCGACGGCGTCTGCTCGACCACCGTCAGACCGGCCAGCGGGTGACCCAGCTGGGGCAGCGTGCTGTCCAGCAGCAGGTCGCCCTGCACCTGAGCACACACACGGATGGCAGGTTCAGAGAGCGGGCACGGCTGGGCAGTAAATGTAGGAAGGTATTGCATTTATGGGACTGCGCGTGCTTTGGACGGGAAACAATGCAGTGCTGTAGCAAGGATACGACAGGTTGCGTAATTATCCTGGTGTGACTTACACACTATTTGCAAGACATGTCCTGCTAGTAACTTATCTCGTAGCACTCTAGTGTTACGAGAAACATAATGGAACTCACGAGATAAGCCACAGCCAACATCCGCAATTCACAGAATGTCACCACCGGAAGGATACGTACGCAACGCACCGACTTCCGACTGATGTCATTGCCAGATCACACTGCTGGAGAATCGTTTGTCACCCACCTGGAAGATCTGCTCCGTGCAGCTCTCAGTGGTGACGTGCACGGCCGCCGCCAGCCGGTCGTCGCTGGGCATCAGGTGCTCCTCGCCGCGCCGCTTCAGCCAGCCGAGCTTGTGCAGGCTGTACTCGTTGAGCTGGTTGATGCTCTGCGGCTGGTAGAGCTGGCCGTCGTGCAGCACGTACCATCCGCGGCCGAGGTCGGGAGCTCCTCCGGCGCGCGCCACGCTGCTCAGACGCACCTGGGTGGCGTTCAGGTCGAGGCGGAGGTCCTCGCCCAGCTGCGCCTCCACCGTGTGGCTCTCGGTGGTGGCCGGCCGGCCGCCGCCCTCCTCCGTGACCGCCACTCGCAGCCGCATCAGCGTGACACCACCACGCAGTCGCACCGCCTGGAACGAGGCGCCCGGCGTCACCCGCAGCTGGCAGCAGGTGCGCGCCGAGCCCAGGAACGAGCCCTGGCAGTCGGGCGCCGGCGAGCGGCTCGCCTTGGAGACGCACAGTGGCCCACAGGCGGCACACGTGTGCAGCGAGGCGCAGGCGCAGCTGCACGTGACGCCCAGCTGCGGGTCGCTGAACTGGTAGCTGGCCGTGACGGCGTGCCGGTGCTGCACGGACTCGAGTGTCAGCTGGATCTGCAGTCGCCGCTGGCCGTCCGGCCGGCGGGGCGGCGGCGCCTTCCGCAGGCGGCCCGGAGCGACGGCGGCCGCGCGCGCCTCCCGCGCCAGCCGCCGCTCGGTCCAGCTGGTAGCAGCTGGATGGGAAGGCGTCCCATCACCCGCCGGTCGGTCCGTCGGCTGTCCCACGTCCACGGGGCTTCTGACCGTCAAGTCCTCCATCACATTATCTGAGCTGACGGGGTTCGTTGTTCGTTCGTCGTTCTCTGGGTCGGGTTCGGCCGATTCCACCCCAGACAGCTCCTCCCCAGCCTGAACCAGCGTCTTTTCGTCGTCGCTGTCCTCGCTGTGTATCATGTTGAGCAGCCTGGTCTCTGCCCTGTCGGCGGGCGGCAGCTGCTCGGGCTCGGGCAGTGCGGCGCTGATACACACCGTCTCGCCCACTCGCAGCGAGGTGAGCACATGAGTGCTGACCATCAGCTGTCCAGAGTCGAGCAGTCGCTGTCGTACAGCCGTCTCCTGAACCTGAGTCCGGCTGCAGAACACCGGTGAGGGGTCCGGCTGGGGCGCCTGCCGTGCCGCCGGTACCGGCGTGGCCGTCACCGTGACCAGCACGGCAGCCGCGAGCCAGACGAGCGTCCCCGTCCTCCACATATCCACCTGCGGCACACGGAGAGAACGGGTTTAGGACTGCGCCCGAGGGCGACCGGGGTGCGACTGGCACCTCCCGCTGAGACCTGAGTCAGGTCCGGGCATACCTGCCGACCGCGGCGGCCCGACCGCGACTCATCCCCACTGACACGTGCCCGCGCCGGCCGCCCGGCTCGAGTAGCCTGGCGCCTGTTGGTGCAGCTGCCAGCGCTGCTCAGCGCCCTTTGAAGGGTCGCGCGGCGGCCGTCGATCGCGGCGACACCTCCGCTGGGGCACGTGTACTGTCGCCGTCGGCTCCGCCCGCAGCCGCAGCTATTTCACGTCACATTTTTTCCTGACCTCGCGCTGAGCCTGCGCAGGCTGCGTCACTCATGCGACGCCGATCATTTGTCCTAACGATGTGTACACCTTTTGAAGTGGGCTGCGCGGATGCGGCGCGGCGGCTGGCGCGCGCGGCACGCTGTGGTGCTGTGGTTACCGACGGGTGAGGAATCTGGCACCGGATAACAATGCCCTGCCCGCTGGCACGAGTCATGGGAGTTTTGAGCGAATCATGAGCGTGATGACACCCGCTTGCGGCCTCAGCTGCCAAAAGGTGTACGATATCATCACCCGCGGGGGTGACACGTAATCATCCACGGCGATGTTTTGGCAAGGTTGTGCGTGCGCGCAGCACCCGTTTGCGGTTCAGCGTGTGCCGCCGTTTAGCCCCGATCTGCCTGCGGCGCGGTGATTTGTGCGCTGGTTTATGTGTCGCCGGCGGCAGGGCAGCGATGTTTGTGCACACTGTA